ATCCTTCACTCACTTCACGCACCCACAGCCACTGCTTCCGCCCATCTTCACACGTCGCTGCCGCCCAACCACTCTCTCGCCATCATAATAGCCGCCCAGTGAACGAAAACACTCTTTTCTCCTGTCGCCTCTTCTCCTGACGCTGAAGACACAAAACCCTTTCCCGCACTCTCCTTCGGTCCAACTGTCACCATCTTCCTTCCCTTTCCCATCGTTCAAGCGACCTTCTATCCGCACAACCTCTCTATTCGCACAACCCTGAACCCTGCCTGCTTCGGACTCGAAACCATCTCGAGGCTTCGAACCCACACTTAGACGAAGCTTCATCCCGAGTTTCCCTGGTCCCCCTGTGCTGTTTTTGAGTATCCTACAGTGCTGTATCTTCCATATAATCCATTTTATATACTGTATCCGAAATATGTCGCCATTACCTTGATAAAAAAAAATCTGTTCCAGGCAGACATATTACAGTCTGCATTTAGTATGTTGCAGTAAGAACTAGAGTGATAATGTAAGCTTCACATTCCATGGTTGGGGAATCCAAGGGGGATATTTTCCTAATGAGAGACTTCACAATTTGGAATACGACATTCTTTCTGTTTTATATTTATTCATTCACCTATTCGTTTATTTTTTTAAATGAAATTAATCAGTCCTTAAATGGAAATAAAAGAAAAAAAAGTAATCCATTGATGAATTTATCCTTGTATAATTCGGAAAGAATAAATACACAATTATTATCCATAGTGAAGAGTATTCAGAAAAGGAAGAAACAAACATTGATTATGATTTTTTTCCACAAATTACTTATTAAGTGATTTTGTTTATAGTTTTGAAGTCCAGAATGGATAGTACAGACCCCAAGAGATATTTGTTAATATATGTACATAAATTTTAACACACGCACATATGTATCAATAAGCATGCATATATATATATATATATATATATATATATATATATATATATATATATATATATATATATATATATATTTGTATACGTACATACATATTATATATACATATAAATGTATATATATAAAGGTACACATGCGCGCTCGCGCACACACACATACATACACGCACACACATACATTGCATACATACTTATATATACATATATACATATATATATATATATATATATATATATATATATATATATATATATATTTATATATATATGCACATACACACACACATGCATATGTAGATGTGTGTGGATGTATACACACACGCACCCATAAAGAAAAAGGCGAATTTTGCTCTTGTAAATATAAGTTAAGATAATGTCATTGTGATTTTAATTAATCGATGTGCATTGAACATAATCTTGTTAGGATATTGTTAAAAAAACGACATGGTCTGCATTTGTGTCTTGTAAATATGATGCTGTAAGTAAAAGACGTGAAATAAAATAAAGATATATATTGTAGGACTTTCTGATGTTACATTTGATAGAACAAAAAAATAAAAATTCTCTTGTGCAATAGCATTAAAAGGTTTAATAAAAAATGTACCACTGAGAAATTCATTTGAACGTTTCTGAAATATTATCATCTCTGAAGATTTAGATGTAGTGTATCGCTTATGAAAATTTATGTAAATAAATGATCAAACATCTTGTTGATATTGATTTCTTGCCCATGAAAAGGAGAAATGTGTAATGTTACATATATTACAGTACGAGTATATGACATTACACTCTCTCCCTCCCTCTCTCTCTCTTGTGTCCTCTTCTCTCTCTCTCTCTTCTCCCCGCTTCACTTTCTCTCTTTCTTTCTCCTTACTTCTCTCCCATCTTTTTGCTCTCTCTCTGCCTCCGTCACCCCCCCCCCCCTCCCTCTCTCTCTCTCTCTCTCTCTCTCTGCTTCGATCCCTCCTTCCCTTATTTTCTCTCTCTCTCCTTCCCTGTATGTGAAATATTGGAAACAAAAGAAGAACCATAAGAAGAAAATAAGATGAAGTAAAAAAAAAAAAAAAAAAAATGGCAGGATTAGAAAAACAAAGCAAAGATTATGCAGAGGACATTAATTAAGAACCAGAAACAATGAAAAGAAAAGATCGAAGAACAGGACGATGGAAGTGCATAGAAGACGAAGACGATGAAAAAGGGAAAGGGGGCAACTAAGATAAAGAGGGAAGAGAAAGAAAGAATCGAGAAATAAACCTGGGCGTTTTCCCACATCCATCTAGTAAAAAAAAAAAAAAAAATGGATGGTGAAAGGACGCTAGGTGTTATCAGTGTATAAATGGATTTTCTAGAAATTCTGTGTCTCTGTATTCAAGCTTCGTCTTTCCTTCTGGAATTTTGCTCGCCGACTCCAAGCCCAGTTTTCACTCAGACAAGAGATGTTGTTATGCCCGAACCTTCGATGAAATAGAAGCGCAACAGCAATAAGGTTTAAAGTCGTGTGACACAGGAGTGACCCTGGTGTCCGAGGCCTTCTCGATTTGAGAAGGCAGTTTTGCTTCTGAGATATTTTAACGTGAAATACGCAAATCAAATAAGTTTTATTGTAGACTTTGCTGCACGTTCTTGTTCTTTACTGGTACCCTCCACAGTGCCAAATTTGAAACACCAGCCTAACCATCAACCACATCCTAACATGTGAAAATTCCACCAACAAACGACAAAATTTAAGAAACATTTCCGATTAAATGATAAAGATTTTACAACATCAAATCCTTTATCAAACGAAAAAAATAATCCATAAAATAATCACTTTTCTAAAAGAGGCAAAACTAATCTAGACTGATATACTGAATAGGATCCATGATTTTTAATTCGTTTGATACTTGTTAATCAGCCAGTGTGTGACGTCATTCCTTACCTCTCTATTCTTAGAGTGCTCTATATCTCTCTTTCTCTTTCTTTCTTTCTTTCTTTTCTCTCTCTACAGCGTTTTTTTTTTTTTTTTTGTCTCCCGAGTTTTCTCTCTCTCTCTCTCTCTCTCTGCCTCCGTCCCTCCCTCCCTCTCTCTCTCCCTGCCTCCTTCCTCTCTCTCTCTCTCTCTCTCTCTCTCTCTCTCTCTCTCTCTCTCTCTCTCTCTCTCTCTCTCTCTCTACCTCCTTGCCTCGCTCTCTCCCGCTCAGTCTTCTACCCCCCTTCCTCTCTCTCTTTCGCTTTCTCTCTCTCTTTCATACTCTTCATCCCCTTTCCCTCTCTCGTTCTCTCTTTCCACCCCTCTCCCCCGACCCACAAGGCAAAGGTTCGCCCCTTAGCCAATATAAAGGCCGGGATACCTCTCTCTCCTTTATCCCGCTCGAGATAGACCGCAGATACAGGCCGGCTCGCCATCAATACAGTATAATACAGAGCGGTCTACTGTAGGCAGGCAGGTCACGGGAAAAAAAAAAACCGGAGGCACCATAATGCTCCGGGCGGAACAGTATAAATGACGTATCTGTGGCGGGTTCTTCAAGACGTCTTTTAAAGTTCAGGGGCGTGTAAAACCACAGATTAAGATGATCTGGGCCTCGGCTGGAGTCTTATATAACCCTCTCCTCCGACTAGGTGCTTCGTTGCGTGTGTGCGTGTGCTTTTTGCGTGTGTGTGGATGTAATTGCAGTGTGTACGTGCCTGGGGATCAATAATCAAGACTGTCAAAGGATGATTATGTAAGGATAATCCGTGTGGATTATTATCATAGATCATGAATACTTGTTGATAATAACCGATGATAATAACGATGTAATAGTAACCATTAAGTACCATTTAGAACAATAATGACGAGGAGTCATAGAGCTTTTAACATGATTATGAAAACAATAAAATGATAAAGTATATTATATGTATATATATGCATGACAGTGATGAGCATGATCATTCTCGCTATCTGATCATGAATAATAGTAATACATCCATACATGCAGACGCATAGAGAACACTTTTGTCTGAAATCTTAATGTCAGACAAAATAAATAAATAAATAAATAAATAAATAAAACATGACGGAAAGTCTTTTATGAACAAAAATTGAATTGGATCAGGACACTTGAACGATTATCAACTTATAACCAGCAACATAAATTTTCACGTTTTCCCGGTAAAACACATTTTCAAGGACTCTTAAATATGTCTCAGCAACTCTAGCAAATAATCTAATCTGAGGAAAAATAGAAAATATTCTATCTCATAATGAATAAATGAAAACTGCGAAGGATTTTATGCATTGGCCTTTGCATTCGACAAATTACACTGGTATGATAAAAGAACAGAAGGAAAAACGGGAAGAATTAAACATCTTAAAAATATCAATGAAATTTTTAATAGTATCAGAAAGTAATGGTAACAGAAATTGATAATGATGCAAAAGGGGATAAAATTATGATAAAAGATGATAAAATTAAGAAAGTAATGATGAATCATGATGTTAGTATATTTCATGACAGTGAAAATGATCGTGACAATATGCATAATGACGAAATTCATAATACAAAAACAGTAGCTAACAGATGATATAAACAAACAAACAAACAAACAAAAAATCTTCCCATAGAAAAAAAAAAAAAATTGAGATAGGTGAAACTTGCTTCATATCATTAAAAAAAAAGTTTCTGAAAATACCAATATTACAACATGAAAATAACATTAAACAGTACGATAGAAATGGAATTGATAACTCGAAAAATAATGATTATGATAACGATAGGTTGTCAATGATGATGATAATGAAAATCATGCATTTGGTCAAGGTGATGATGATGATGATGATGATGATGATGATCATAATAATAATAACAATATGATGATATGATTATGAAGAAGAAAAAGATGATAATGAAGATGGTGATGATGATCATAATTAAGATGGTAATGATAATGATGATGATGATGATAGTGAAGATGATAATGAAATAATTATCATAATAATGATAATGATAATATAATAATAATAATGATTATTATAATCATAATAATAATAATAATAATAATAACAATAATAATTGTAATAATAATAATGATAACAATAATAGTAATGATAATAATAATAA